AAACTTCCATCCAAATAGAATTTCGCAGTGTGCTTGAAGACTGTCCGACGTGGAGGTGTGTTGTTGTTGGTAGCGACGTGCGCTCTAGAGTCATCACTGACGCTTTCCTCATCACGCCCGTTATAACCTTCAGCGGAAGTGGTTAACTCCTCGAACGTGACTGCAGCTTGATCACACAGGTAACCGGCGTAGCCAGGTTTGCAAACACAGTCGTTTCCATTAACACAAACACCATGTCTGCAGCCTTCACGAGGAATGCAGATGTCACATGACTCCCCCTTCCAGCCTGGTTTGCAGGCGCACTGACCGAGACCAACACAAAGCCCACCAACTCCACAACTGTCTGTCGGACAAGTTGGTGTCTGACAATTGTCGCCGCCCCAGCCTACCAGGCAGGTGATACTGCCATCTGCACCACACGTGTAATGACCGAAATCGTTATCGTGAGGTGTGCACGTGTAGTCGGCGTTGAGTGTGGCAGAACGTGTGGTGAGGAGACCTCGGGAGAGGAATTGCAGCGTCAGAGGTGTGTTGGTGGGAAGAGGCTGATTGGAAAGCACCTCGAGTATCACTGGTCCCGGACAGGTGACGCTCGTGCTGTTTACTACTGAGACTTGAATTGCCAGTCCAGAGGATCCATCCCACAAGCTGAGGCTTCGCGAAGTCTCCATATCCCATCGAGGTCTTGGTCGTGGGAGCCACCATGGCCTCTGGAGATGCATCAAATTTGTAGGCGTGGTTGTTACTGATAGTGCACTTGATTCACTGGAATTGTGTTTGGGAATCTGACGCACAACGATATTGGCGGAATTGTTGAAATTCAATGGTGGCAGAACAAAATCGAGGGTTTCCTTCCCTGGCTCCATGACAAGAATGCGCTTCAATCGGGTTGGATTATTTGTCCTTGAACGCCACCATCCACCACAGGGATCAAGGACCTCTTCAACTAGCAGTTCAAACTCCGCACTCGTGGAAGTCGCCTGTGTTTGGACGTTCTTATATACAATCTGACCAGCAAGAGGCAAACCATGTCTGAAAGCAAAGGGCATTTTGAGCTCCAACTTGGGGTCTGGCCACATCTTGAAATCGGCACTTGCAGACACAACAAGAGACGAACCAGTTCCCTCCTCCTCTACCTGCACAAACACACCCAGCTTGTCCGCCCAATTCGGTGGG